GGCAAATTCCCCATTGTTTTTTTTGGTTTTTCAGACAGGGTTTCTCTGTGGCTTTGGAGGCTGTCCTGGAACTAGCTCTTGTAGACCAGCCTCTGCCTCCCGAGTGCTGGGATTAAAGGCGTGAGACAACAATGCCTGGCCCAAAATTCCCCATTCTTAAGAAACGGTTTCCCATACATAACTTTTTAGTCACCTGAGTATAAATATCCTTTATGGATATTTTTAGTCGTAGAATGAGGGGAATTTTTAGGCTTTGGTCTGTTTTCATTATAACATTAAGGAAACTATCCAAGGCTTGTACTTTGAGATTTAGTTACCACAGAATTAATATCCAGAGTAATTGCTAAAATTATTTATTGAGGGCTATCCCTGCCCATCACTGCCCATGTGTCTTTGAAGTTCTCTCTTGGTAATCAACCCCCCCCCCCACAACACACACACATACATATGTGTGATAGAATCCTTGCAAGATTTCAAGGCAGGTACTGCCCCCACTTTACAGTTGAAGAAACTGAGTTAGATTAAATGACTGCAATTTCACAGGGGTAGAAAATATACACAGTATTGTTCAAAACCCTGGGGTCTGACTCCAAGCCTGTATTTACTTCTCCAGATCTTGTTGCTTCTGGAATTATGAAATTTGAACTTACAATTCAAATACAACCTTCTGAAAATGTTCATTTTAAAAAGCAAATTTGCACTTCATCTTTTGTGTGTTTTATTAGTCTCCACTTTAGCTAATCTGCTATAACTTAAGTGTAAGGAATAAAATTGTTTTATAAACTAAACCTGTTGCTTAGAAGTGTTATTAAAAGTTGTACCCCGGGCGGTGGTGTTGCACGCCTTTAGTCCCAGCACTCGGGAGGCAGAGGCAAGAGGATCTCTGTCAGTTCAAAACCAGCCTGGTCTACAAGAGCTAGTTCCAGGACAGCCTCCAAAGCCACAGAGAAACCCTGCCTCGAAACTGCTCCCTCCCATAAAGTAAAATAAAAGTAGTACATTTACAGAGAAACCCTGTCTCAAAAAACCCCCCAAGACACCTCACCCCCAAAGTAGTACATGTATTAGATATGTAATCACCTGCCACATCTTCAATTAAAGACTGTTAACTAGCTGTGAATAGTCCACTAATGTAGAGAGGCGGAAATCCAATAGTCTTCCCTGGTTGGAAAAAAATTTGTTAGGGTGTTGCCCAACATACTTTGCCCTTAACTATCGAAACTCAGGTGTACTCAGTAGAATGAAGCAAGCAAAACTGGTTAGTGCCTGGAGCAGACTTTCCAGTCTTGGTAGATTGAATGACGATGAGCTCATAGACTTTCTTATGTCTGGCTTCTGTTCTTTTCATTACTTTCAAAGGTATTACTAGTTCTTTTTGAAAAACAGGTGTTTTGACAGTCTTCACCATCACTTTAAATAATAATCACAAATAAAAACCTACAAAAGTTTTTCCAGCAGTTAGAAAGTTGTTTATCTAAGTCAAAAGCAGAAACAGAGAATGATAACCAGGCAAAAAATTCTGCCTGTCTCTCTGATGTGTGCTCCGAACAGGTGAACTGATAGGATAATAGTGTACAGCATGTGGCTAAAAGTCAAATTTAAACATGCTCAGGGTTTTCTCTGATGGTTTTTGTGGAAGGCAAACAGACATCTGCTGAGTTTCACACTCTGTACTGATTCATACAAAATATTTTCACCATTTATCAGTTTTTAACTTTGTGGAGTAATCCAAACCATGTTTTAGATTCTTAAAACTTATGAATAGTAACAAACAAACCCCTTCTTCTGTAAACTAGTATGTTTCTGGTGTCTGTGACCTATTCACAGATATGTTTTAGAGTAAGGTTAGCTGACCTTTCCTGCTTCGATTGTTAGGCATTGATGAAATGCTTTCTGTAAACTAACCCTTATAACAGCCCCCTATGGGGGAAGTTATTCTTTGTTATAGAGATGAGGAGTCTGGGAAGCACACCCAAAGGCCCATCCCCAAAGGGACAGCACTGCATTCAAACCATGCAGTGTGGTTTTCATGCCTTTATTCCTAGTATCTTTGCAGACTGTCTCCCCTAGGGTACTTACTATGTTTAAAGATACATTCTGTCACTGGGCGGTGGTGGCACATGTCTTTAATCCCAGCAGCTGGGAGGCGGAAGCAAAGGCAGGTGAATCTCTGAGTTCAAAGCCAGCCTGGTGTACAAAGTGAGTTTCAGGACAGCGAGGGCTACACAGAGAAACTCTGTTTCAAAAAAGAAAAAAAATACATTCTATCATGGTTTGAATATGAAATGTACCCCCACAGTCTTACATGTTTGGACACTCACCCCTGCCCCCAAATTGGTCACTCCATTTTAGGAGTGTGTAGAGCCTTCGAGACTTGACCTAGCTAGCAGAGGTGGGCTGCTGTGGGAGGCACTTGAAGGTTCCATCTAGATCTGTCCTTTTCCTCATCTGTATCCTCAGACTCCTGCCACCACAAATGGAACTGCCCAGGCCTATACCCTCTGTACCCTCCTGAACAATTAGCAAACTAAATCCTTTCTTCCTGTGTTGTGCCTGTCAGATATCTTGTCACAGCAACACAAGAGGTGGTGAAAATGACATTTTTTTCTCTTCAAGTCTTTACCCCAAATGTTGACATTTAAATTTATCTGGTTAATTATTCACATTTAATTCAAATATATATATATGTATATATATATATACATATATATATATTTGAATTTGGTTGTGAGCCTAGCCTTTATTGGCTGAGTCATCTCTCCAGTCCCAAAATATAAATTTTAAAATGAATATTTTTTTAAAGATTTATTTATTATGTATACAGTGTTCTGCCTCCATGCCAGAAGAGGGCACCAGATCTCATAACAGATGGTTGTGAGCCACCATGTGGTTGCTGGGAATTGAACTCAAGACCTGTGAAAGAGTAGCCATTGCTCTTAACCAATGAAAATTTTTGCTGCAGTGCATTACTATCATTAATTGGCTTGAAAGTTCTCTATTAGCAGAGCCATTGGACATTACTCATTCCTCACAGGATGTCTTTAAAGGTTACTTAGATTTTTTAAAATGCTAAAACCATTAAGCAAGATTGGTGACTTAGAAAACCCAAAGATTAATCACTAGGAATAAAAGAGAAGATTGGGTAAAAATAAAGGATTTTGAAAAGGGTACAGAAAAATTAGAGGGTACAGCAAAATGTTTTTAGTATAAAAAATAAGAAAGCAATTGGTGGGGGATGTCCTTCTGAATATATGTTTCTCTTATTGTTGATGAATAAAACACTGACTGGCCAGTAGAGGAAGGATAGGCGAGGCTAGGAGATAAGGAGAATGTTGGAGAGAGAGAAGAAAGAGGCCAAGAAGAGATGCCATGCTGCCCAAGGAGTAACATGCCTGATGATGGGTAAACTACAGCCTCATGGCAACCCATAGACTAATAGAAATGAGTTAATATTTAAGACAGAGCTAGCCAATAAGAAGCCCTAGCCATCAACCAACAGTTTTATAATTATAATTAATATAGTGTCTGTGCATTTATTTGGGCCAAAGAGGCCATGGGACCAGGCCAGACAGAAACCTCCATCTTCAAGCAATAGCAAAGGCTCTTTAAGGAAGGCCCTATGAAGTTTTTTATAGTATCATTTACTCAAGACCTTAAACCATATTCCCTCCAGTAGAAGGTAAAGCAGGCTATTACAAATCAAAGAGAGCTGTGACATCCCTGCCCAGCCACCAGTGACCTTATTCTAAATCGGCTACCACTTTTGGTAAATCCTTACCATTTTTTGCTGAGCACTGCTTCTAGAATAAGATTCATGAACAGGCTATTGAGGAGACAGAAGGGAAGTGTGGTGGCTAGTCTTGATTGTTAGCTTGACTACATCTAGAATGGACTACAGTCCAGAAATGAGGGCATACCTGCAAGAGATTTTTTGCTTGGTTAAAAGTGATGAATCCACTTCTAGTCCAGACCTTTGAGATGGAAAACACAGTTTGAAGTAGATGAATCCACATCTAGTCCAGACCTTTGAGGTGGAAGACACAGGCCTTTAATCCAGATCTTGAAGCAGAAAGACATGCTTTTAATCTGAGCCATACCTTCTGCTGATATAAGGAATAGAAGAAAGAAGCTTTTGTTCTTGCCTTGCTAACACATCCATTCCTTCACCTGCATTGGAGCCTACTTCTTTGGGATCCCAGCATATACATGAAGACCAGCCTTGTGGACTGAGCAACTACTAGATTATTGGACTTTCTGTTCATAGCCATTGTTGGATTAGCTGGACTGCAGTCGTAAGATGTTCCAATAAATCCCCTTTATATATATATATAGACAGAGATTCAATCTATAAGTTTTGTTACTCTAAAGAACCCTGACTAGGGGCTGGAGAGATGGCTCAGAGGTTAAGAGCACTGGCTGCTCTTCCAGAGGTCCTGAATTCAATTCCTAGCAAACACATGGGGGTTCACAACCATCCATTATGAGATATGGTGCTGTCTTCTGGTGTGCAGATATACATGGAAGCAAAATTTTTTATAAATAATAAAAAAATAAAATCCTAAAAAAAAAAAAAAAGAAAAGAAAAAAAGAACCCTGACTAGTACAGGAAGCAAAGCAAAGTAATTCCAGAGTTGGTTTTACATCCATAGAAGGGATAAAGGTGATTAGGTGGGGCTCAGTAACACTGATTCTCAGATCCGCACTCCCTGTCTATGGGTAGAGGGCCTTTCAACCTGTGGCTTGCCTGCAAAGGTCAGATAATGTTCTGGACAGCATTTATAACAGGTAAGACAACATACATCATCTAGTATTTCAGGAAAATCTACAAATGTGCCAAATAATCAAAGGCTTCCCAAAGTAACTCAAATATTCAAGTGACATGTGTCTTTGACCCACATTAGGGCCAGTGAGCAAGAGGTCACTATGTCCATGTGTGTAACCTAGTACTTAGAAAGCTGAGGCAGCCTGGGCTACATAGCAAGATCCTCTCTCAAAATTTTTTCTTTTGAATTTGCAAGCCAAAACCAACCAAACAAACAAAAAAACCTTCTTAGTGTATATATAATATTTACTACAAAACAAAATTATGTATAGGTGATTGAGATTGGGAAAAAAACTTAAAATGTTTCTAATAACAAGGAAGGGCACATGTATTATAAGTTAAAAGCATATTAAACATAACTAATTTAAGATATGTAACAATGTCATCATCTATAATTCTATTTTGGAAATGTAAAAAATACAGATTATCCAAATTTTGAGGGTTATCAGAAGCCTGATTTTGTTCTGAGAAGAAACTGTCATATGTTAGTGAAGACACTTGTCTGTGTTGTAGATGTGCTTGGTAGGGAAGTGTAGTTTTGTGGAACTGTGTGATCACTACATTTTTATAGCCTGAGTCAGAGAATGTGAGACTACTGGAAATTGCTTAATGTGTATTAAACTGTTTTAATGCACAAGGCCCTAGGTTTGACCTGTAGTATCCCAAAAGCAGAACACAACAGAACCATAACTCTTAACATGTTTGAAGCACCCTGGGACTACCAACAGTGAAAAGATGCTCTGGGGATTGGCCAAGAGAACTTTAATGTGGTGAGTGGACCTGCCAAGAATGAATGCTATTAAAGCTTTTTATTTTTCTCATCCTTGTCCTCATCCTCTTCTTCTTCATTGCTGTTGGTTTGGGGTTTTAGTTGTTTTGTTGTTGTTGTTGTTTCTTTCTTTGTTTTTGAGGAGGTCTCTTGCTATAGCCCTGGTTCACCTGGAACTCACCTCACAACTATCTGCTTGCGCTGTGTCCCAAATACGAAGAACTTTTTCAGTGGCAGAGAGCTTGCCCAGCATGCTCTTGGTCCAATTTCCAGTAACACAATTTTTTCCTATTCTAAAATTTAATCACATGCTTTAGTAATTATTGTATAGCCTGAGTGTAGATGTAGCTCAGTGGTCAAGTTCTTGCCAATCATGGTTGGAGCCCTTGTAACAAAACTGTATACAAGGGGGGGGGGGCAATAAAGAAACTGCCTACATGACCACTTTGTAACACGAATTAATAAAAGACCCAGAGACTGATATTGGGGTTCAAACTTCAAGCTGACCATCAGAAAGGCAAAGCAGGTGACCACTAGCTTCTTACCTCTACCTCAGGCTGAATGGGCTGATCCTGTCTCAACTAGCTCTCACCAAGAGTTGCTGGAGAATGAATGCCTCCTACTAACTACTTGCTCCTGTCTTTTCATACCCCTCTAGTGCTGGGATTAAAGGTGTGAGCTATAATTCTCTTTTAGACTGATTCACTCTTGTGTAGATCTGGGTGGCCTTGGACTCACAGAGATCCATCTGCCACTTAATCCTGAGTCCTAGGGTTAAAGGTGTGTACCACCACCACCTGATCTCCATAGCTTGAGGCTGACTTTGCTTCTCTGAATCCTCAGTCAAGTTTTAATAAATCATAAATAATATATCACTACACCACTCCATTAGGGGGAAGGTTTTTATTGTAAGAGAGAGAAAATATCCAGAGGCACCTGGAGGAGTCCAGAGCACAGAAAGAAAGTCAGACTGGACATAGCTAGGGAAAAAGGAGAGAAGAGTGGAGAGAGCAAGAGACAGCACAGTAAGAGCAGGGATGACAAATCATGTGAATTATAAGGAGGATGAGTAGCTGGGCAGAGGACTCCTTTGGGGACAAAAAACCCATTTCATAAGTTTCTGAGGAATGCTGGCTTTTATCTAACTTCGAGAAATCCTTCCATAGTCCAGCTAGAGCTCATTTCTGAATACATGGACTTCCTGAGACCTAACAGAAACCCCAGGACTTCTTATTTTTAGAAATAATGACTAGTAGTTAATGTAGACATCAGTTTCCATTAAACGTGTAGTCTATAAAAAGAGAAGGGAAGAGAAAGGAAGACACTTGAAATTTCCTACTTTTTGAGGAAAAAAAAAGAACTGCATTTTATCTATCTTGATTCATTGTTGCCTACTGTAGTGATCACTCGGTAAATTATTTATTTTAGAAGGAAAACATGGAGTACTTTGTGAGGGGGCAGCAGGCTGAGCAGTAACTAGAGTGCCCAGCTGTAGTAATGGTAAGTATTAAATGAAGTCATGAAGCCCTTGATAACTAAACAGATAGTCATGTTTCGTTTCATCTTGTATAGCAAAGTAGCATGTGAGCAGATTCTTAGAGACTATATTCAATGCACTGAGACAGGTTGCAGTATAAGGGGATCCTGTATACAGAAAATTGTTAACAAAAAAACCGATTTCATTGAGATTCAGTTCTCATGCTACAGAATTGAACCAGATTTCCAGTATAGTCATAGAGTAGCATAGGTACTCTCAGCCTCCAAAAGACTCTGTGCTCATTAGTAGCTACTCCCTATTTTTCCAGCTCTAGCCCCAAGTAACCACCAATATACTTCCAAACTCAGAGGTTTATGTCTTTCTTGGACATTTCATATAGTGTGTGGTCTTTTGAATACTTGCTTACTTAGTATGGTTTCATGTTCTTTTCTGCGTTGTAACATGGCTTCTTCCTATATATACTCAAGTAATATTCTACTGCATGTAAAGACCACTTTTTTGTTTCTCTGTTGTACATTCAAGTTTCTACTTTGGGGTTAACTATGAATAATATTGCTATGAACATTCATTGTATAGGTTTTTAAGTAGACATATTTGTAAGTTTTCTGGATTATACACATAAAGATCTGAATTGCTGAGTCATGGTATTTCATATATAAATGTTTGGAGATCTGCAGAGCTATTTTTCTAGTGTAGTTCCATTATCTATAATCCCCCCAATTATGGGGTTTCACTCTCACTGTATCTGCTAATGCTTATTATCATCTTTTTACAATTTCAGCTGCCCTGATAGCTATATAAGAGTATCTCATTGTGGATTTGCCTTTCCCAAGTGACCAATAACACTAAGTAGCTTTCCATGTACCAACCAGCTATTCATATATGTTTGGAATAATCTCTATGTGGGCCTTTATTTATTTATTTATTTATTTTGAGAGGGTCTCACTATGTAGCTCTTGCTGGCCTGGAACTTGCTACAGGTGTGTACCACCACACTGGCTATTCAGATCTTTAGCCATTTAAAAACTGGATTAAATTTTGTTCTTAAGTGGCAGTAGTATTTTTGTTTTGTTTTGTTTTTGAAACAGGATCTTATGGATCTGTGGCTAGCTTCTAACAATATGTAGCTAAGGCTAACCTTGAACTTATGATCATCCTGCTTCCAACCCTCAAGTGCTAGGACTACACGTGTATACCACCATTCCCAACTAAAATGACACTGTTAGAGTAGGCTCTAATTCATGCTAAATGATTTTTTTTTTAATGTTTTGGGTTGAACTTTGTAATACCAGGGATGGAATCCAGGGCCTTGGGCATGTTGAGCAAGCACTATGCCACTGAGTAGCATCCCCGTCTTGGGATATAGCAGTTCTTACACAATTCTTTTCTGTTGTGGGGTCTTCACTATGCATTCCAGGCTTACCTGGAGCTCTCTGTTTAGCCCAACCTGGCTTTGAACTCATATTTTCCTGCCTTGGCCTCCTGTGTGCTGGAATTGTCACTGTGAACCACCGTGCCCAGCTATAATTCTAGTGGATGTATTAAAAACCTTAGTCCTTTCATCAGATAGATAATTTGCAAACGTTTGGTCCATTCAGTCAATTATCTCTTCACCTTCTTGGTGGTGTTCTTTGAAGCACAAAAAAATAATTATAATGTAGCTTTATGTATTTATTTTCTTTTGTCACCTGTGCTTTTGGTGTTTGTGACAGTTTTTTTGTTTTTTGATTTTTTTGTTTTGTTTTGTTTTGTTTTTTTGGTTTTTCGAGACAGGGTTTCTGTGTGTAGCTTTGGAGCCTATCCTGGCACTTGCTCTGGAGACCAGGCTGGCCTCGAACTCACAGAGATCCGCCTGCCTCTGCCTCCCGAGTGCTGGGATTAAAGGCGTGCGCCACCAACGCCCGGCTGTTTGTGACAGTTTTATATCTCAGATTGACTGGAATAAGGGATGCCCAGACAGCCAGAACATTTTTTTCCAGATGTGTTTAGGAGGGTGTTACTGGAAGAGATGATGTGCCCTCACCAAGAGGCTGGGCATTATCAATATGTGGTTGGATGCAAATAGGTCTAAAAGGTGGAGGAATGGTAAGTTTTCTTCTGATCTATACTTTCTTTTGCCTTTAGACTCCAGGATTGTCCTGGCTAGTCTTTTGTCAACTTGATACAAGCTGGAATCATCTGGGAAAAGGGACCCTCAGTTGAGAAATGCCTCCATCGGATTTGCCTGTGAGCAACTCTGTAGGGCATTTTCTTGATTAAATGATTGTGGGAAGGCCCAGCTCACTGTGGGCAGTGCCACCTTTGAGCTGGTGGCTCTGGGTATAAGAAAATAGGCTGAGGAAACCGTGGCAAGCAGGCCAGTAAAACAGCATTTCTCCATGGCCTCTCCACCAGTTCCTGTCCTGACTGGTTCCTGTTCTGTGTATGTTCCTGCTTTAGCTTCTCTCAGTGATGAATTGTGATTAGGATGTGTAAGTCAAATAAATGCTTCCCTCTCTAAGATGTGTTTGTTCAGTGTTTTATCACAATAGGAAGCAAAGGAGGACAGAAATTGATGCTGGGATTATTGCTGTGACAGACCTGACCATGTTGTTATGGTTGAATTGCAAAGGATTTTAGAATGTTGGGCTGGAAAGGCCCATGAGGGTTCAGAGTTTAATGAACTTTAGTGGGAACTTGAAAGATAGGAACACTGAACGCACTGGAAATGATGGAACCCTGGCTTGTGAAGTTTCAGAGAGAAGTTTGAGAGTCTTTTAAAGACTCTGTTGGGTCCTTCATGTGATATTTTGAATTAAGATTCTATGATTCTCGTCAACTGAGGCTGAAGAATCAGCCAGGCTGTGGTGGCACATGCCCTTAATCCCAGCACTCCAGAGGCAGAGGTAGGCAGATCTACAAATTCTAGGCCAGCCTGGGCTACAGAGCAAGTTCCAGGACACCCAGGGTTACATGGAGAAACCCTGTCTTGAGAAACAAAAACAAAACAAGCAAGCAAACAAACAAATAAACAAACAAAAAGAGTTCAGTATCACTGAGGTAAAAACTTGTGGGAATGTTTCCTTAAGGTCAGCACACAGAAGCTGTGGTCCAGAGTAGGCCAAGGCTGCAGCTCAAGCTCATACGTAGCTTGCTGATGTATAAGAGTCTCATACATGGTACTGATTTGGGTACTGATTTTAAAAGCATGAAGGGGTCTTGAATAGTAACTGAGGCTTGGCCCTCTGAGGGTCCAAAAGAGGCCTATAGCCAGAGGCTTTTATGTGTCTCTCCCAATCCTGAAGCCACTTATAAAATAATCACTCAGGGCTTAATATTAATTATAATTGTTTGGCTGGTGACTCAGGCTTATTTCTGGCTAGCTCTTACATTTAAATTAACCCATTTCTATTATTCTATGTATTGCCACATGCCCCCTGGCTTACCGGTAATGCTCAGACATCTTTCTCCTTTGGTGGATGGATGGCATCTCCTCAACTCTGCTTTCTTTCTTTTTGCATCTCTGCTTGGATTTCCTGTCTAGCTATATTCTGCCTTGCCATAGGCCAAAGCAGCTTTATTCATCAACCAATAATAGCAACACATATTTGCAGTGTACAAAAGGACTTCCCACATCAGAGGCCACTTGTGAAGATAGCAAACTCAGTTGTAGTGGAAATACAGGATTTAAGGTATCAAAGAGAGAAGTTAAGGATTGGCACCATCTGGCAGAGTCAAAGTCCCTGAAGAGAACCTAGGAGAGGCTATTGGCAAATTGCAAAACCTGTTTTAGATATTTAAGATAAATTCATCCTTACAATTTTGTTTCTCTAGAACCACTCCTGGTACCACAACTGTATTAATCAAGTAATAGCAAAATGTAAGGTGAGTCTAAGACCATAAGACAAATTCAGGTAATGAACCTGCTTTTATGCACAACTATAGTAATCAAAAGTGACACTTCTTTTTTAAATTTAAATTAAAAACAATCTTATTTTAAATACCAATCCCAGTTCTCTCTCCCTCCAGTCTTCCAATTCCTTTCACCATCTCCCCATCCACTCCTCAGGAGGGTGAGGCCTCCCTGTGGGGGATCATCAAAGTCTGTCACATCATTTGGGGCAGGACAGAGGCCCTCCTCCCTGTATCTAGGCTGAGAGAGTATCCCTCCGCAGGGAATAGGCTCCGAAAGTCCATTTGTGCACTAGGGATTAATACTGGTCCCACTGCCAGTGGCTCCAACTGACACCCATGTTCAGGGGGCCTGGTTCGGTCCTATGCTGGTTCCCCAGCTAAAAAGTTATACTTCTAAAGCAGCATTAAGTTTTGTATGTATGGCTGGGCTTTGGTAGCGCATGCCTTTAATCCCAGCACTCGGGAGGCAGAGGCAGGCGGATGAATCTCTGTGAGTTGGAGGCCAGCCTGGTCTCCAGATCAGAGTGCCAGGATAGGCTCCAAAGCTACACAGAGAAACCCTGTCTCGAAAAAACAAAAAAAAAAACAAAAAATTTTTTTTTAAAAAAAAAAAAAAAAAAAAAAAAAAAAAAAAAAAAAAGTTTTGTATGTATGTATATACATATATATGTATATGTATGTATGTGTGTATATGCATTATGTATAATTATGTGTGGTGTGTGTTCTATAATCTGTAAGAGATGAGATAATTTTATTGGCTTTTTCCACCACCCACCCCCATACTAGGGAGTGAATCCACATTCAAGGTGGGTTTTCCTTTTTCAGTTAATCCTTTCTAAAAATGTTGTCATAGTTAGATCTGTGTGTTTTCATGGTGAGACTAAACAAGCCAAGATGGCAAAGAAGGTTAACCACTAAAGGAGCTGTTTCAGTTACTGTTTTATTGCTGTGTAGATTCCAGGACCATGACAGTTTAGAGAAGAGCTTATTGAGCTTACAGTTTCAGAAGGTGAGTGAGTTCATGACCATCATGGCAGTGAGCATGGAAGCAGACAGGCAGGAATGGGACTGGACCAATAGCTAAGAGCTTACACGTAAAGACAACAAC